ATAATAAATACACAAATTTACCTCCATACATATCATGCAAAAGCCTCTATTTTAGCCATTTAACAAAATGCATTTTGTTGTGTGCTTGGAGTTTCTAGGAGCGCAAAAAATGAAAATTTATATTCTGTTCCGGTCATATGTTTAAACTTGTTCAGTTTTCTCTATTTTCTATGGCGTTTTCTGAACTATTACGTCACAGTTTTTGCAACGGAACAGCCAAATGAAATTTTATTCTTCGTTATAATCAACATCACCTACTCTGAGCACAAACACAAGATCTTTGTTTAAAATGTTGGCATGCGAGGATTTGCATTTCTTCAAAGAATGTTTTAAGTTTTATTTTTGCTTTATGTGGATGTACAGAAACCCAGGCGATTTTTGTATTTGCTTCGATTTTTCAATTCACGGAATGGTTCCTTTTTTAATACAATTAAAACAATGTTTGATTCATTTCAGCACAAATCTTTAACGTTATTGGCATTCCTTTGAATGGACAGTCCAGTTTTTGAGTTTTACAGCAATGAGATGGTAAATCAATGGCTCATCTTAAGTGCCTTTGCTCCTCCCACACATCACTGTCGCCACAGATGCATTTAGTGTCACAACTGTAAAACTTGCATGCGATGACTTGTCAAAGTTGTTCTTTTCCAGCTGGCTGAGTCCATGATTCTTGGCTGTCTTTCTTTCAGCGGGAGAGCCTAACCGGGAAAAGTATAAAACCAAGTCGAGCAGAACAGCCTCGTGTGACTAACTGAGTCCTCTAAAGCCAGAAAATCATCAGTACATGACAGCGCTGCGTACACTAAGAGTGTGCTGTTCAACTGACACTATAGATAGGAGTATATTCTGAAGCAAAATATGTGGCTGTTCACAGAGAGGTTTTAGGACCTTTGACTCAGAGTCTGTTGATTGACATGGAGGCCATGGTGTTTYCTCTGGTGGTGGAGGATGGCAGGTAATTGCAAGCAGCTGACTTTGACACAAACTGCCTGAAGCAGAGAATCCACTGTTGGCTCTGCGAGGAAGTGTCTTATCAGAGGCTGAAAAGGTTGCCTGGAGAGCTTGGATTTTAGATTTTTGATCAGTAGAAAAAAGACTTGGTTTTCACTGGAACCCTAACAGAACATCACAGTTTACAGTAAACTCTATTTAGACAGCAGCAGCTTTCATTTGCTGCTTTTTTAAAGAGTTAGACAGGACATTTTCTTTTGACATGAAAGTTACCTCTGAAGTTCTGTTTGTAATGCAGCACCACATCGTGCAACAATTAAAAACGTGTAATAAAAAATGCAATATTTGAACTATTTTCAATCAGATGATCAACTTAGACAAGATAATTTTTTCCTAGCTTATAAATAAAATAAAGTTATACATATTACATTACTTTATACTAAGCTGTGTCTCAATTGCAGCCCACGTAGACCGTAGCCCACATAAACCACACCCTAGGTGAGCTGTAGGCCACCAGTGTAGACTGCAGAAATGGCTGTGAAATGAGACGATCTAGTCTGTGAATGAAATATCGTTTGCCTATTAGCATAACTGCTGAAGTTATATTTGACCAAAAATGACTTAGACAACTATGCTATTAGGCTAACGACATGTTTGCATGACCAGGCACTGCCCCATTATCACATGCCTTCAGTTGTCTTTTCACTATCACAAAATTCAGTATCTTTAAAAAGATATTAAACGTAAATAAATAAATAAATAAATAAATAAATAAATAAATAAATAAATAAATAAA